CTACATACGGAACAATTCTCTTTGAAAGAAATCCAGAAACTAGATGAGCAAATCCTACACAACACAACTATAGAAAAATCATCAAATCACAAAGGAAGAGAGCAAGAGAAGAACAAAAAATTATAAAATAGCTAGAAAACAATTAACAAAAGAGCAATATTAAGTGCATGCCTATCAATAATTACTTTAAATGTAAATGGGCTAAATTCTCCAATCAAAAACAAAGAATGGCTGAATGGATTAAAGAAAAAACCCTCAACAATATGGTGTCTATGAGAGATTCACTTTGGCTTTAAGGACACACAGACTGCAAGTGAAAGATGGAAACAGATATTCCATGTAAATGGAAACCAAAAGCAATCAGAAGCAGCTATACTTTTATACCAATCAAAACGGACTAAAGTCAAAGACTATAATGAGAAACAAGGAAGGTCAACATAATGATAAAGGGATTGGTCCAATAAGAGGATTAATATTCATAAATATTTATGCAAACACCTAAATACATAAAGCAAATATTAACAGACCTGAAGGGAGAAATAGAGAGCAAAACAATAATGGCAGGGGCTTTAATACTTGAGTTTCAACAATGGATAGATCATCTAGATAGAAAATTAACAAGGAAACACTGGACTTAAACTACATATTCGATCAGACAGACATTTATAGACCCTCCCATACAACAGCAGGAGAATACACACTCTTCTCAAACATACATAAAATACTCTCCAGGAGAGATCATATGTTTAGGCCACAAAACAAGTCTTATTAATAAATTTAAGATGACTGAAATTGTATCAAACATCTTTTCTAAGAATGGTAGGAAACTAGAAATCAATTATAAGAAAAAACTGGAAAATTCAAAATTCACAAATATGTGGAGATTAAACAACATATTACTGAACAACAAATGGGCCAGAGAAGAAATCAAAACAAATCAAAAAATATTTTGAGGCAAATGAAAGTAGAAACTAAACACACAACAATTTAGGAGATGCACCAAAAGCAATTCTGAGAGAGGTTCACAGCAGCAAATACCTACCTGAGGAAAAAAGAGAGGTCTCAAAGTACCTAACTTTATACCTCAAGGAACTAGGGTGGACACACACACACACACACACACACAGGAAGAACAAAGCCAAAAGTTAGTAGAAGGAAAGAAATAACAAAGATAAGAACAAAAGTAAATGAAATAGGGACTAAAAAGAAAACAGAAAAGATTAAGGAAACTAAAAGCAGATTCTTTGAAAAGATAAACAAAATAGACAAATCTTTAGCAAATTAATATAAATCATTCTCAAACTATTAAAAAAATTGAAGGAGGAATCCTTTCAAAATCATTTTACAAGACCTGCATTAAACTGTTATCAAAATCAGACAACATTCGAAGAAAAGAAAATCACAGGACAAAATCCCTGATGAACAGAGATGTAAAAATCCTCCACAAAATATTAGTAAACTGAATTCAATAAAATGTTTTAAAAAAATCATACACCATGACCAAGTAGGATTTATTCCAAGGATACAAGAATGGTTCAACATCTGCAAAACAACCAACATGATACACATTAATGAAATGGGGGAAAAAAAGAATCAAAATCATCTCAATAGATGCAGAAAAAGCATTCTACAAAATTCAACATCCACTCATGATAAAAAGTCTTAAATTAGGTGAAGAAGGAATATATCTCTACATAATAAAGGCCATATATGACAAGCCCAGAGAAACATCATACTCAACAACAAAAAGTTGAAAGCTTTTCCTGCAGGACCAGGAACAAGACAAGAAAGGCCATTTTCACCACTTTTATTCAACTGAGTACTGCTAGTCATAGCAATAAGGCAAGAAAAAAAATAGAAAGTATCCAAATTAGAAAAGAAGTAAAACTGCCCTTCTTTGCAGATAACATGATATATACAGAAAACCTAAAGACTCCACCAAAATCTGTTAGAACTAGTGAATTAATTCAGTAAAGCTGCAGGATAATAAATCAATATAAAAATATTAGTTGTGTATCTGTTATTTCAGGACCCCTGAAATCATGACCTGAGACAAAGGCAGAAACTTAACCAACTATGCTATCCAGGCAAAAAACAGTAATTATTCCTCTAACTGGTAGAATTTTTTCAAAGTTTCTACCTTTCATTTGGAAAGGGAAATCAGTTTGTAAGTTCAAATATGCTAATCCTTCAGAAAATAATGTATTTTTGGGTACAGAAATTTCTTTAATTTGTCATCAGTCTCCCAACAATACTATCACACAGTCTGTAAAATTTTCATAAAAATTAATAGGCCAGGGGCTCCTCGGTGATTCATTTGGTTGGGCACCTGACTCTTGGTTTCAGCTCAAGTCATGACAGGGTCCTGAGATTGAGCCCCATGTCGGGCTCTGCATTCAGCAGGGAGTCTGCTCCTCCCCTCTTCACTCTCTCTCTCTCAAATAAATAAATAAATCTTTTAAAAAATCAATAGGCCAAAGGAAAACTGTTTCCTCCTTCCAAGAGCTTTTATAAAAGTCAAACATAACATAAACTGAACACCTATTATATATCAGATACTTTTACATGTGTTACCTCATTTAATCTCTTATTAGTCACCTTTTCCAAAAGAGAACATTGTAATTCAGAATGGTTAAACATGGTGTCAAAGATTATACATATAATAACAAAAGCCAGGCTTTGATCCTAGGTGTGTCTGTTTAACAAAGCCAAGATCATTCTACTACCAGGGTTGGCAAACTCAAAAACAGCCAGAGAGTTAATATTTTAGGTTTTTCGGACCATATGACCCTGTCACAGCTACTTAACTGTGCTGTTGTAGTCCAATAGCAACTATAAACAATATGGAAACAAAAGTAGCTGTGTTTCAGTAAAACTTTATTAATAAAAACAGAGAGTCAAATTGTCAATCCCTCCACTATACTACAATGCATCTCCTCCTAGAGAACCTCTATTAAGTTTTTATTAACATCACCAAATTGTATTGTATCTCTCTCTCCTTAAAAAATTATGACTTTCATCTTACTGGGCAATGTTATTTTAATGCTTTTCTTATTAGGCTCCATTATTTGAAACAGGTTACTCTTGGAGGAATACGTTTAGTCTTTTACATATTCTAACTATAATGTCAATTATATCAGAAATTAATCTATAAATAAGATGAAACACTTCTAAAACTATATTACTTGCATGCACTAACTTATCAGTGTGAAAATGTCAAACATCTGTATTTAAAGTTCTCCCTTTGAACTTTTTTCAGTTATTAGTATCTAATTTTAATTGTTCAATCTATATTTAATAAGCAAATCACCACAAGGCTCCACTAATATACACAGCCAAGCAACAAGAACAAATATCCTCTTTTAATTAAACAAAATGATCATAGATGGGAGTGCCTGGAAGGAGCAGTCAGTTAAGCATCCGACTCTTAGTTTCTGTTCAGGTCATGATCTCCAGGTTGTGAGATCAAACCTTGCATCAGGCTCTGTACTCAGCAAGGCATCTGCTTGGGACTCTCTCACCCTCTCTCTCTGCCCCTCCCCCTCACATATTCCCTATCTCTCTAAAATATATAAATAAATCTTTTTTTTTTTTTTTTTAATGATCATATATAAAAAAGTGACCTAAAAACACAGAACTCAAAGACCTTATTTTTTGGAAAGGCCCTTCACTCCCTTATTCCAAAATTTAATCATATGTGCCATCACTGAGATTGTTATTTTTAAGATTTAAACGGTATAAAATTGTATAAATAGGAAAGAAATATTCCCCTTGTCTACCCTACCTTCCTTCCTCGCACACACTTGTGCACCCTTGTGCACGCTGGCTTTCTGTTCTGCCTGTCGGCCTTTCTCTGACTTACACACACACACATACACACACACGCAGTGCATTTCAAAAACACAACCCAAGTCCAAATAATACACAAGATCAGGCTGAATAACAACTGCACACACAAAACACAGAAGATTCAAAAACATATGAACAAATTCAAATCCCAGCTCTACCACTAAAACCAGTTGAATAATTACTTACTAGCTTTGTGCCTTCAGTGACTACCTACTGAACCTCTATTAATCTGTTTGCTCATCTATAAAAATGGGGGAAAAGCATACCCCACCTCACGTGGTTGTTGTGGGCATTAAAGTGAATGGAAGCGGCAAGGCTACAGCATGGCGTTGATACGTACGTACGTAGTCAATACTTAAAACTTGCTCCTGCTCTTACTCCCATCACTACCTCCAACATCACCAATCTGGGACAAGCCTTACTAAGACCTGTTGTTATTCCTGTACAACATGGGAAGAGCACTGTTTCCAATGGTGTATATATAATAAGAACTTTTTAAAGGATCTTGCAAATTCTTCTTTTTGTTATTATTAAAAGTCAGAGGGGGAAAGACCTTTTTTTTTAAAAAATTTAACATTCCTTCGAGTGCCTTTAAAAATTAAAGTCTAGGGGCGCCTGGGTGGCTCAGTGGGTTAAGGCCTCTGCCTTCGGCTCAGGTCATGATCCCAGGGACCTGGGATCGAGCCCCGCATCGGGCTCTCTGCTCGGCAGGGAGCCTGCTTCCTCCTTTCTCTCTGCCTGCCTCTCTGCCTACTTGTGATCTCTGTCTGTCAAATAAATAAATAAAAAATCTTAAAAAAAAAAATTAAAGTCTATCTTTATACCTGAAAGGAAACAAGAAATTAACATTTTTCACTTACTCTCTCATTGTTGTAGGTATTTTTAAACCCAAACATATATACTGAAAGATCTAATGTGTTGCTTTTTCAAGAAAGTCACTCAACCCTAATAAATAATCATAAATGAATCTGGTTAAAAGGGAATGGCAGATTAGGGCCTACTTTCTCAATCCCAACATATTTTAAAATTCACCAAGTTTGGAGTTTATTTTTGTTGCTTTTTGTTTTCAATCTTCTGCACTTAAAGGAACCCCATGTTAATAACTGTATGCCACAGTCATTCTAACATTAGTGGATATAAACATTTCTTACCAAGTTATGCTTTTTTACTGGAAGAAAGTAATAATAGTGGCAGAAAGAAAACATCAGAGCGTAGGAAGTAAGAAGTTCCGTGTAGAAACACAACTGCAGAAAAAGCCAATGATTATCTTCACCAACACAATTGTTAATCCTGAAGAAAAAAGGAAAACAGAAATAATATTTTAAACTTTAATAAGATGTTCACCTCAGGACCGGTAAAAACTGAAAATAAACACAAACAACTTTATATAGGCTTGACTTTATGGAGATCCGCTAATGCCACTGAAACCTACAAGCAAACAGTACACAGCAACAGACAGACTCTAAATATGCCACCTCGCATTTGCAAAGCACTCTCTACTTTACAAAGGAAGTCCATGGATACGGCTGCCTTCAACTCACAACCACCCGGTGTGGCAGGAAGAGCAGATGGCAGTCTCCTCGTTTCATTGGTATGGAAACAGGAACAAAAGAGTGAAGACACTTGCCAGAGGAAGCGAAAGTAGCCAAGAGAACAAGAACCTTCTTCTGTATATTGCTCTCCCATTACAGCATCCCAGCTGCGGAGAGCAATTTGAATGATTCAAAGTCAGAGGACTGAAACCTGCCACTCTGACCTTCCTGCTAAGCATCCCCTTCTTACTTTTCAATTCTGCCCTTTGTCGCTAAAAATAAATGTATATACCCACAAGTATTTACAAATTCTTAGAGCTACACTTCCACCATGACAACAGGGAATCACAGCTAGGAAAAATAATTAATGTGATAATCCTAAAATTTTCAAGTCTAATGCAGGTTGAAAACTGCACCATTCCAAATTTTCAGAATATTTTACAATTCCCACAGATAACCCTAGTTCAAAACAATAACTTACCTTGCTCAAATGTTTTCATTTCATTATAGCATTATACTGCTATTGTTTGGGGGGGAAAAGATATAACTGGTTCACTGCTAACAAACTGTTATTTCAAAAGTGTATCATTAAAATATTTTTTTAACTCAGATATAGAACTAAATCCAAAACCCAAAGAGGCATTTCCTAAACTTAAGAGCTCATGCTTTGTAAACCAGGAAAGTTCCTGCATATGGTGACTTGCAAGGGGGGGTCTTCACAGAAGTGCGTTCATGTGTGCCCTCAAACATACTCTCCAACAGCTGTGACTTCAAACACTTCTCCTCGTCCCATCCTCCTTGACCCCACCTGCTTTAATGATGGCATTCTTAACCAGAGAGCTCTGAGCAACATGAAGATACTCAGTCTATACATAAGAGTTCTCTTGGTAGCAAGCTATTCAAGGGGCCAGAAAGAGAGAAAAGCTCCAGGTGAACTGAGAACTGACCTTCAAATCTAAAGCTGTTAGGCAGTGAAGAAATGCAGTTTCTGAAAATATAAAAAATTTTCCCTGCTTTCATTTCACACTGTCCATTTTCCTTACCCTGTGACTACCTTGGCAATGCCCTATTAAGGAATTCAATCACCAAAGTCCCTTGGATCTATTCAAGGCCTCTGATCTACCCTCCCTCCTTCCCTACCTTCAACTCCTTCTACTTCCACTTTTCTTCCCACAAGTACTCTGAGAAGTTGAAAACCCACGGAACAGGCGGACAAACAGAGAGCTCACCCGAATCTTGGAATTTAGATTAACAGCACATTTTTCTGTCACCAAGTTAAGCTCTATTCCTTAAAAATAAAGAAAGGATGTCGCTAATCTCTACAGGACCAAAACATCTCTTAGTTGATTATTTTTTAAGCTTAAACTCCAGCATTCTTTTAAAAGGAAGTATCAATATCCAACCATAACATGAACATTTATTATATTCTTAATCAGAAACATTGCTCTAAAAAAGGTTACACAATTGAGTTTTTCAGTGTGGTTACTACTTGCCTAATAATACATGTTTTACCTAGCCTTTTGTTTTTTAATGTATTACTATAGTAATTGTAAACAGATCACTGAGGTTTAGGAAGTCACTTGAGAATTTGTTTAAATTCAAGGCACATTTCTTAAACATCAGCTATATATTATACACTATACTATCCCATTGATGGACTTAAACAATTTGAAACTTCTTTTATATAATAACAAAATGCTTTTATCTAAAATGCTTTTATTTTTCCTAATCTCAGGAAATTACCTTCTGTTTAAATAATCAGTTTACGGTAAAAATCAAATTTTCACGAAAAGCTTGCAAACATTAACTTGTGCTAGCAGAGTGAAGTCATCAAAAACATGGGAAACTCTAAATTGGTCAGCATCATTTGGGAAAGCTAAACTCCATCAAGGAGTCAACTATAGATAAATGCAGTGATAAATTTAAGAAGCCCATTGTGCAGTTTACTTTGTATATGTGCCTGTATGTGTGTACAAACATAAATATATATGTATTTAGATATATTTACAAAGTGCTACACTATACTAGTTTAAATATTTATACAGAGATCCCATGCTAGGAAAACAGAATTAAATACAATATCTTGTTCACAGATTTTTGTGACAGCTTTGAAATGAGATACAATGCAGAATTCTCACAGCATTTGTTTTCAACATTCTTTTTCTCAACTGAACTGTTTTTAAAAATATTACAAGAGAGCCCCCTATTGACCAAAAATGTTGGTTCAGTGGAATCAGCTAACTACCACGGACACAGATCGAGCTCACATGTAACCTTAATACCTGCGTCCAATACACAATATTGAAAAAAGCTTACAGGGGTAAAGATGAGGTTATCAGGGTATCTGAGATGTGTTATTCTTTAATTAAACAACTGGAAAGGGAAATACAAACCATGCAATGTATATGGTTTATTACAGTTAGAGACAATAACAGCTATTATTTGCTTTTTATGTGTCAGATACTCACTACAATGGTTTACATACATTGCCTCATTGAATACAACCATCTTAGGTCTCTTGTACATGTGGGTGCATCTGAATGTCAGTTTTCTGCTCCAATGCCTCTTTGTTAGAAAAGACAGGATCTCTGTGCAAAAATGACTTTGGCAGTTGATAGTACCTGATAGAATAAAGCTATCCTTACTGAAGGATTTTTTTTTAAACTGCATGACTTTAACATAACTTTTATTTAAATCTGCTAAGTACTAAGATTTCTTTTTTACTATTTCTTTTTCTAAAAGTAAATCATAGATTTCTTACCATGGACAGTGATGATCCATTCTCCTAACACAGTGGCCGCAGCGGCTACAGTGATGGGAACGCTTTGGTCTCATCAAATTACATTTGTTACATAATTCCCAGAACTCCCGTTCTAGAGAAGGAAATTAAAATCCATTTAATAAAGGCAAATGAGTAATGTTGAAATTTAGCAACAACAGTTTAGATTTTTACAGGAAGTCTTCGATATATGTGTCCAAGAGATTTTTCTTCTGCTACATCTTCACTGTAGAAGAGTTTGCCATAAATAATGCTTCTCTATTCTATGCATGTCTTACTCTATACATTCCTAATTTTAAACACTATAATAGTTAAGACACCATTAATGTTAAACTGAGGGATAGAAAATAATGTATTTGGGTTATGGACATAATTGCTATAAGTAAAATTTGATAACAAAACCCAAAAGTACAACCAAATTATTACATGAAAATAGAATTTCATGTAAACAAATTAATTTCTCAAAATTTTATTAAAGACTCTAAAGAAGAAATAATACTGAATCCTAGTCTCATTGACTAAGAAGTCAAAATCAATCCTATGAGACAACTGCGTGGCTCAGTCAGTTGAGCATCTGCCTTGGGCTCAGATCATGATCTCAGGGTCCCAGGATCAAGCCCTGCATTGGGCTCCCTGCTCAGCAGGGAATCTAGCTTCTCCCTCTCTCTCTGCCTCTCTTCCAGCTTGTGCTCACTTTCTCTCTCTCTTGCTTACTTGCTCAAATAAATGAATAAAAGCTTTTAAAAATAAATCAATCCCATAAACTCATTAGAAAAACAAAGATAGCATTCTCATCCCCTAACCATTTTATGTTTTTTTAATATCAGTGAATTCATTTGGGAGTGTTTATGGGAGATGGTTGGAAAAGGGTTTCAGACAGGTTTAGGAGGAATTAGAATGATTTCAGAAGTAAAGAAGATTACAAGAAAGTTATTATTTAATGGAAATAAGGGAGTTCTTTACCAAACTCTTTCTTACCACCAAGGAGCAATTTCTTTTACCTTGTAATTAAAGAGCACACATTTAAGTTTTGTGCTAAAAACATTAAGTTTACAGACATAAAAAGTCATTTATTTCCATTATAAACCCTTCTAATCAGATCTATAAGAACTATATGAAAGTCATCTACCAAGACAACTGCTTTATTATACAGAATGTATCTATTTCATATTTGTTGAAATGGAACTTTACTTTTACAAAATTCTTAAACCTTCCATCACTTATATTTAAACTACACTCTAACCTTGTTAAAAGCATGGGTATAGTAATATCAACCTAATTCCCATTTTGAGCGAATATTCGTATATGCAAAGTATGATCCTAGCACATAGTAGGTGGTCATTAAATACTTGCTAAAGTATGAATTTTTAAAAACGAAAGATTCTAAATGTAAGTAAAAGAAGATAATAGTAGGTAGTATTCAATTTTCTAAAAGATACCTTATTTTAATTCCATTATTTTAGTTTAATGACCAGGAGTAAAATCAATATACTGGAATTTTATAGAGTGAAGTATTAGGAAAACATTCTGCATAGAAGAAATCAATAATAATGATAATAATAACAATAATATCAAATTAATTGTTCCAATAATATTAAAGTTGAGAAATTAACTTTTGCATTTAAAATTTCTTTTTTAAAATTATTTAAATTCAATTTCCTTAACATATCTTATATTATTAGTTTCAGGGCTAGAATTTGGTGATTCGTCAGTTGCAAATCACACCCAATGCTCAACACATCATGTGCCCTCCTTAATGCCCATCAGCCAGTTACCCCATCTGCCCACACACCACCCCCTCCAGCAACCCTCAATTTATTTCCTAAAGATCCTCTTTCATTTCTTACTTACGTTCTTATTTTAATAAAAACTTCCATGAGAAAGCAACATTAAAGTTTAATTTAGATAGTTAAACTAGTATTATTTAACTGTAACTGAAATGAAAACTCATTTCATATGTAGCACAATACAGTGTCATAAGCAGATGCTTTTCCCACTTAGCTAGATGCTCCCAAACATCCCAGTGTTAAAACTCTGAATTCACATATTGCAAGGAATATATTCAGGAAGCAGACTCCCTCTGATGAGCCAATTTTCATTAAAAGACAACAGAAAAACTTCAGTTTTTAAACCAGTGCCTTAAAATATAAATATGGCATATTCATTACTGGTCATTTCAGCATATGATGTTCTAGAGAGTAAAATTTTTTATTTCATACTTGACATGTTGTGTCCTCGGAAAAGAAGACAGCATTTGGTTACAGCGAGAGAAATCCTGTAATTGTGTAGTCTAGACCATGGGGTGGCAAACTATAGTCCACAGGCAAATCCAGGCCACCACCTGTTTTCATGGGCTAAGAATGGTTTTTACAATTTTCAACAACTGAAAATAAGAATGTGTGATATGCAAAATCTTGAAATTCAAATTCCAGTGTCCACACATAAAGTTTTATCTGAACACAGCTCAAATGAACACCCATTCATTTACATTTTCCCTATGGCTGCTTTTGGGCTGCAACGGCAGAGCTAAGAGGCTCTGAAAGAGACTGTACAGTCTGTAAAGCTGAAAATACTTACTATCTGGATGTGTACAGTGAGGAAGAGTTTGCCAATCTATGGTCTGGATCATAAGTTTGTTTAAAGAAAGAGCCTAAGCCATTCCACTGGCTAAACTTAAGATACTATACAAGCATCTAAAATGGCTTTGAAAACTCACCATTTTCTCACACATACATACCCCAACTGTTCAGAGAACAAAGAAAAGAATCACTTTTTTAAATACCTAGAAAGTTAACTAAAGTATCATCTATGTTTTTGCCTTATATAGCAAGAAAAAAAAAATCCATCCATTTTAACCTACCCCACATAGCTAAGAAACCATTTCTTGCTCTTCTCCCTTTCCTTCTTTAGGTTTATTCATTCCAAATGTGACCTTGGTGACTAATATATTCTGATGTCTGAAAAATTTTGTACTAGCCATCTAACATAAAATAAAAGCCTATAGGGAAAAAAATCAGAAGGCAAAATGCCATCTGTAAGTGATGAAAATAAAAATTTTAAATTAAAAAAAAAAAAAAAGCCCATGAGAGAGAGAATTCAATTGCTAATTTATGGTAGCTACAGAAAAATTGACAACCGACTTTTTTTTAAAGGAAAGAAAAACTGAAAAGTGACTTTTTTTAGAGGAAAAAAAAAATCAAAACATAAGACAAATCAAAGAAAAGACAAACCCCATAAATGCCTGGGTAAACCTAAATAAGTAACCTAAGTAAACAGTATTGCACTCTGTAGCAAGGATGCTCTTAATGCTGTAAATGCATGAATAAATACAAAGCAAGATTTGGTTTTGTTTAGCTATCCCTCAGAAAGAAAGGAATCACCTTCTATTTAAGACTTTTAAAAGCCTTACGTATTAGGCTCTCTCAATTACTGTATTTCAAATCACAAAGTAATGTTTTAGGAAGAAAATATAACCTGAAACGATGAAAATCAATACAACACTTGGCTCTTCACAGAGGTTCCCTGACAGAATCACTTGCCAATACAGAAAATAAACGGCAGTAAGTCTCTAAAACAGATCTCCTTTAAAAAGCAATATAAGAAATAGGGAGGGGAGCAAAACTACAGGAGGAAACATGACCCTAAGCATTAAAGCACAAGTGTCCCTACCATTGGGGCAAAATTTCAACGGACATGAACACACAAATTTTACACATGCCACATTTTTTTTTTTCAAACTTGGAAGATTTTGCTCTGTAATAGGGTGACTACTTGAAGTGGCTCTAATGATGATAAAAACACTGAAGTCAAACATGTGAGTTAAGAGCTTGATGAAGATATTCTAGGGGCGCCTGGCTCAGGTGGTTAAGCTTCTGCCTTCGGCTCAGGTCATGATCTCAGGGTCCTGGAATTGAGCCCCATGTCAGGCTCTCTGCTCAGCGGGGAGCCTGCTTCTCCTTCTCCCTCTGCCCCATCTCACTGCTTGTGCTCTCTCACTCTAATAAATAAATAAAATCTTGAAAAAAAAAGTTCTAAAATTGACTGTGGTAGGACCCCTGGCTAGCTCAGTAAATAGAGCACACAACTCTTATCTCTGGGTTATGAGTTCAAGCCCCACCTTGAATGTAGAGTTTCCATACATACATAACTACATAACACTGATTGTGGTAATGGTTGTACAACTCTGTGGACATAAACAAGCCACTAAACTGTCTATCTAAAATGGGTAAATCATATGATGTATGAATTATACTCAATAAAGCTGTTTTATTAAGGTTAAGAGATTGAATAAAATCATTTCATAAAACTTGAAAATGACATAAAGTAATATTTCTATATTTCAAACATGCATGGGATTAATTGAATATAAATAAACATTTAATTATTTCATTTGACTATTTCATCTACATCCCAAGAACTTTATAAAAATCAAATTCTGGGGATCTTTGTGTGGGACAGAGGAACATCCTCTTATATTCAAACTGCCTCATATATTTGGCAGGTTACATAGATACTAGATTTATTTAAAATCTGTTTTTTTTTTTTTAAAAGAAAGTCATGTAAACTATGTCAGAGTAATTCAACTAACACGTGGTTAAAATCAAAAGTATTAGGGCTTAAGTTTCCTTTCCTAAAGAATTCAATTATATGAAACTGCTCAACCTTAAAACAATGATGATAAATGTCACTTTTTATAGACCCAACTCTCTAGTCGTGCTATGTTATTTTTTTCACTGTTAAAATTTTGTATTTTTTACTAAGTTAAAACCATATTTACAAAATGATCAGAAAATCAGCACAAGGCACATGATGACTTCAATTTTTCCCAGAATCAAAGCAAAGGTGAATAAAGGGCTAAAATTATTAATCTCAATATAGACACGTGGTAAAAGAGGATGGAGACAAGTATTTGAGTGTCACAGCAGCTCTATAACAACTCACTCTGTGACCTAGAGAGGACAATCTACACTTGATTATTCAGTCAAACTATCTCCTGCAATTACCATGAGAATCAAATGACAGGAACTAGTAAAAGACTTTGGAGACATTAAAATACAATAAATGAATGTATTTTTTTCTTCAACTAGGCAAAAGTTAAGTCTTTGGGACTCAGTGGAAAAAACTAGGCCAAATGTCAACTGAGATCAGAGAGAATGCAGACAAACAGCAGCAAGGTAACATGGAGTCTTCCATCACCAGGGTCTATAAACTAAAGGTAACAGGGTGGTTTCCTGTAGATTCAATTAGGCATACAGACATCATTTGTTTAGTATTCATCTAAAACCAATGTTTGTAAAATTTTTAATTAGTTGTTAGCTTTTTTTTAAATCATAAAAGTTCTCTCAAAAACTGCAATTCTGGGTCGCCTGGGTGGCTCAGTTGGTTGGGTGACTGCCTTCAGCTCAAGTCATGATACCAGAGTCCTGGGATCGAGTCCCACATCAGGCTTCCAGCTCCATGGGGAGTCTGCTTCTCCCTCTGACCTCCCCTCTCATGCTCTCTCACTCTGTCTCTCTATCTCTCTTAAACAAATAAATAAAATCCTTAAAAACAAAAACAAAAACATAAACAAAAACAAACAAAAAAACCCTCCAATTCTCTGTTTTCTCTTTAAAAATTATAAGATCTATGAATACCAGGCCTATGAGACAATTTCCCTATAGCTGCTACTTTTGGATATGAGATTTTCAATATGAAAACGGTTCTTTCTTGGCCCCCTCTCACTGATGAGCAGTATCTGATCCATGTAGGCATTTGAGTGTTTGACCACTGCACGCTGAAGATTTCATCAGAAATGGGTCCTTTTTTCTTTAATGTTCAATTGGCCACCACATTACACATCATTAGTTTCTGATGTAGTGTTCAATGATTCATGAGTTGCATATAACACCCAGTGCTCATCACAAAACGGTCCTGAGTTAGAAAAGGGTTGCTTCTCTAATTTTCTGGAAACACTGGGCTCTAGAGTTGAAGGAGGCAATACATTCACCAACATGTTAGAGAGCCTTTCTTTGGGTTAGGCTAGTTGAAAAAAGAGATTCAGTACAAGTTGCAGACTGCCATTGTCCGCGCCCAAACACACACAAAAACTAACTGCCAGTGATAAGGCTTCTATAAGGGAATAGAAACGAAATACTCCAACAGTTCTCAGGAACTTCTATAGTCACGTAAACATTAGTGTCGTATCACTCCCATTTAATCATTAAACTTGAAAGGCCACGTAAATCCCTAAATGATGGGTTTCAAAAAACAACATTCAGGAACTCAAGGGAGGCTCCCTTAGTGACTTGCCACTAATCTAATTTCAGAAGGAATTAATAGGCTCCCCAATTTTTTATACACTGGAATCACCTGAAATCTTTGAAAAATGCTGATATCTAGCTCCTAGCTCCATGTTATGATTTAATTAATACGGGATCGGGATCAGGACACTGAGATTTTTAAAAGCTCCCCCCGCGACTCTAATGTCTAATGTCCGCAAGGTCGGAAAGCATGAAACACTATAGAAAGTATTCTGGTTCTCTAGTGTCCAACAAAATCATAGAAATGTCTCCTTAGAAGAAAGTACAGACAGTTCTCAAAGCTGGTAGACCAAATGATCAAAAAGTGAAACTGAGGAAAGAGGGTTCCTGAGGTTTACTACACCTGGCACGTAATAAAACAAGCGATACATTTCGATTCATTTTCGTGGTTCAAATGGTTATTTTGCAATAAGGTGACCCAAAACCAACTTCAACTGACACTAGAATAAAAAACTTTCAATTTTTCACTGAATTGTCAGAACCCGGAAAAATACAGGCAACGGTATCATTATACTACAAATATTTATGCTAAGCAATATTCTATTTATAATATCACCAAGAGAGAGGCACCATCAAAAAGATTCCTTTATTAAATAAAAATGTATCAGGTATTTATGTATCATTCAACAAGCATTTACCAAGCAAGATCTACTAAGTGACAGAGATGGGCACTAAGGATAGAGCACTGAACAAATGAAGAAAACAAAACAATATCGATATCCTATGCAGAGGCTGCACAGATCTAGGGTGTGAGAAGAGAAAAACAAATAAACTACAAATAAGAGGTAGGGAGTGGGGGATACCGGGGACCAGCTGGGCTTTGCAATTTTAAATAAAGAAGTCTAGGGGAGACTGGGTGGTTCAGTGGGCTAAGCATCTGCCTTCGGCTCACGTCATGATCCCAGGGTCCTGGGATCAAGCCCCCCATCAGGCTCTCTGCTCAGCAGGGATCCTGCTTCCCCCTCTCTCTCTGCCTGCCTCTCTGCCTACTTGTGATCTCGGTCAAATAAATAAAATCTTAAAAAAAAAAGAAAAGAAGTCTAGAAAGGAAACAGAGAAGAGACTTGAGAGCGGTGTTAGAGGACATATATAATGAATACGTGCTGAAGGCCATAAAGTACATTCACGAAGGTAATAATGCCAAGAGAGCAAAAGTGACCAATCTGAAGAGCGCCATACCTCCATGTGGAATCTTAGGGTTCTCAGGGAGTCTTCCAGGATCAGTAAATGAGGCCCTCACTAAAGCAACCAGACAAAATATGGCAATGCCATAGAATACTTGGAAATAAATGAGAAAGTTAAGTAAATGAAATTAGTTATTCATTCTTTAAAACATTTTATCAAGAAACATATTCAAAGTTTAAATGCATGTTTTAATTAATGCCATCAGAATAATTTTCAAAACGAAAATGGAAAAATTAAATGATTAAATAAAATAATTAAACATTCATTTCATTCATCAAATAATACTGCCAACAGGACTATCTCATACATATTAACTTTAAATATTATTTTGCATAATAAATGATAAACTTGTTATAAATCAGATTTTTTATTAACAGAGATTCCTTGTCAATAATGGCATAAATGAATGGGCTCCCTTTTAATTACTACATGTACAAATATATATTTGACAGAATCAAAGGAGCATTTTAAAACCCATCCTACAATTAAACTTTTTCATTACCTCTAATTGGTTATCTTCCAAATTATTTTGAGTTAGAGACATTCAATTGCTCCTTTTCATAGAGCCTATGCTATTAATGTAATGTGAAAATAAAGATTCCAGGAATTTTGAGTTTTTAAAAGAAGACCTAGAAAAATAACAGTAAGGAAAAAGAGACTCATTCATTATAATTCAACCTTTTAAATGAATAAAAAAATGGGCATTTGGCAGAGGAGGGGGAAGACTCCACAACAGTAGTAGGAAATTCAGTTTGAGGGCTAAATCCAGGACTGACTACATGGTACTGGTCAGTTTTATCACTTGTATAACAGAGATTATATTTCCCATAGCATTTGTGAGGCCAAAAGGACATAATGTACAAGGAAACTGCTAATGCCATGTACATGTAAAATATATCATTTCAATCTTATTCTTTTAATCACAAGCAAACCATCACCAAATGAAACTATAGCAGAAAATAATTATCCAGAAGTTCAAAGTATTATCATAATCAACATGATAATCAACAATTTTTGTAACATGAAATTCCCATTTCTCAGTAACGTATATCATCTACATTCTTAAAATTCCTTCCACATTTGAAATAAGTCCACAATAGAAACATTAAAAATACACACGACACACATAAAATAGCACTATTGTGCCAGTTTCAATTTAAACAAGTTGACCTTTATATATTTCACAGTTAGATATGGAGATGCCACATTTATCCAACCCTGCAAAGTCTATAAAAGCCAGTCTTCTTTAAAATTTCCATAATTTGGTAAGTAACAATATTAATATCACTAATAATATTAAAAGGTTATCATAGTGAGACTATACTCTAAAAATATTCACAATGAGAAAACTACTTATATAAAGAAATAAATATCAGAAACTTACTTATTATTAATATGCCTGGAATATGTCCTTCTTCATAGTGAGGAAAGAGGACAATTTTGGGAATTAAAACAATATTGTATAACCAGACAAAGACAATCAAACCCATGCAGCACCAACCATGCGGGTCAACAACAAAGTGAATCCGGAGACCCATTTTGCAGTCCTACAACTGCGTGCCAACCCACAAGGAAAGACGATCCTAAGGAGAGGTGACAAAGAAAAAAGTTACTTATACAGAAAAAAAATCATTCGACTAAAACAAAACTACATTACTGGCAACTATAAAATGACACTGAGTTTTGTTTGTATATTTTTGACAAAATGAAACACATTGGAAAACAAAGAGAAGTTTCAGAGTATTCAAATTTCATCAAAATCTTCAAATAATTTAATTACAACTTTTACTATGAACTGCTACCATAGAGGATGAATTGGCAATAGCTTCTGGAGCTAAATACAAGACTGTCCTCAACCCAGCAATTCCATGTGTCAACCCAAGAGAAGTGAGACACATATCAAGAGATAGATTATTAGATCTATCTAATGATTATTAGATAAGATCAGATCTAATGATCATTAGTCCTAATCATTAGACTAACTGATGGTCATCCAAAATAGTGGTCCTCCTGTGGTGGGAGGGGCGTTTATCAACTGCAAAAGGACATAAGGGAAACTTTGAAGGTCTAGAGTTGTTCTATATCTTGACCTGGGTGGTGCTTCATGGGTATTCACATATGTAAAAATTCACAGTGCTGTACACTGAAGATTTGTGCGATTTATTTTAAACCACAAAACAATGCCTAATCATTTTTGAAAAATCATAATAAAAAGCAGAAACTAATCACAAATTGCCAAAAATATTCAAATTCACAGAATGAAGCTCAACTAATCTTGCTATTACCAACTCAAGAAGAAATGGGCTTTTTCCATACGAGTGTTAACAAAATGCTCATCGACCTCCCAGTGAGACACTTAAAGTTGATAGTTCTATGTTTATGGTATCAGAACAAGTGATTTAAAATACATGTCTACCTTAGTAGATATAATTTATAAAGCTTGAACAGGAAATTACTCTATAAGGTCAAGAGAGCACCTTTTACATAAAATACAATGGAATAATTCAATAATAAACTAGGACAGTGTTTCTCAAACCTGTAAGCAAACCAGAATCAACTGAGGAGCTTTTTAAAAATACTTATTCCCAGGCCCCGTTCCAGATCTACTGAATCATAACTGTTTATGGAATAAAAGCTAAAAAACCAATAAAATGTCTTAAAATGTTCCCCAGATGTCTCTGACAGAGCAGACTGGTGTCTAGAAGCTACTGATCCAAAAGCTTCCCTCAGACTTCAATGCTAGGGCAAGGAGTTGAACTCAGTTCAACAAATCTATTCACGGAGCCACCACAACATATCAGTTACTATAGATACAATGATGAGTGAGTTGTGGTCTTTGCCCAAAGTAACTAACAGTCTACTGGGGAAAAGAGTCATAAAAATGGGCTTAATACAACATGTGACATTTCAGAGATGTGGACAAGATGTCACTAGAGGCCTGGAGGATGGGGACTAGTTAAGTTAGGGCAAGACTTCCTGCAGGTGGTAAAATCTGAGTTCAGTTTCTAAAGATGGGTAAAAGTTATCCAAGCAAAGAAAAGTGGCAACAGTATGGCGAACAGACGGAAGAACAGGAGGTATACAAGAGTAAACATTGTAGGAGATATTACAAATTGCCTTCCTACGTCATAAAGCTCATAGTGGAGAGTGAGGGGTGAGAAATAAGGGGCTACGTCATGAAGGACACAAAGATGCCACATTAGAATGCTAAGACTTTATTCGTAGGCACTGGAAAGTTCCTGATGCAGGAAGTTAACATGAGATTTATAACTTTAAATGAAGTATTGAAGCTCTAGTGTCAAGGATAAAATTAAAGATCAGTTAGACTAAGGAAAGACAAAAGCCAAAAGTAGGTTTGGAGAAGAGATCAACTGAGGAAATAGTTACAATCAAACCAGTATGTTTTACTAACTGACTGGATATTAGGGATGACAGAGGAAAGACTCAAGAACGACTTCCAAATTGTCATCTTCTATCCCTCACTATGATCAGTTGGAGAGCCTCAGGGTCCTGGCCCTTAGAGGTCATGCCAATGTTCTTTAAAGCTACAAAGCTACAGGGACAAAGAGAAAAAGAAAGATTTAGGATTAGCTAATTTTAAAGTAATACCCTGATCCTATCATCTTTAGAACATGCAAATATAGGAGCAGCAGGGGAAAAAACAAAACAAAACCTCAAATGCAACACTATTCAACTGTTTAAATCAGATATGGTCTAAATTAGTCCTTATGAACGAATTTTAAAATAGGAATAGCACCTAGGCTTTTAAAAAAAGTAAAATTTGACCTTCATTACCTTTTAATTAGAAAATTAAAAGAACTATCAGTTATCCTAAAAGTGAGGAAAGTCACAGAGGATAAATTATACTGTTTAATTTACTGGGTATCTTGGTTTTAAAAAACTAAAGGAGCTCAAATACAAATGATAAGCTGTCTGCATAGCTAAAATGAGAAACATTAAAAAGAATGTTTATTTTTACAGTCTTGCCAACCATCAAGTGCCAAAAGAAATGACAGAAGGCTCTGTCTCTCAACATGTTCAATATTATTAACTTCATGTACCTTCTTCCTTGTAATATTTCAGTTCCAGTCAGGACTAAGAAACAGACCACGAGTTCCAAGCATCACAAAGAAGAGAGAACTTCACTACTTATTTCTAAATTTATTAATATTACAAGCAGAAAAGCATACAAGCCAGGAAAACAAGCAGCAGAATTCTCAAACACTCATTCATATTTTTGAACTCTATTTGTACTCTCCTCTACCAGAAAATAAAGAGTTTTTCTTAGGAGATTCCTGACAACTGAAAATACTAGACACTGAAAAGTAGAGTAAAGGGTTTCTGATTTTCCTAAGTGTGAGCATATACAGACAACAAGTTCTAAGAGAACAAGCATCCCCAAGGAAACACAAGCAGAGAAAAGAAAAACATAACAATGAATAAATAAGATGTTGAATTGTTTTTTAAATACCTGATGAGTGAAAATTAGTGTCACATAAGCTTTACAGCTAGACTGTAGAGAAGCGAACAGTAGTCTTCCAAGAGCTCCAAATCAGATTACAACCAGAAACACGTACCTGGCAGAACTGTAGGATCACTTCCCTCAGCTAATATCTACCAGGCGTGGCTTATGGCTGAACAGAAACTATTACACATCCTGAGCCATGACCAGACCGAACACAGTGCGCTGCTATCCGATCTGAAGGGTGGCATTTGTAAAATACTTTCCTTAGCTAGAGATCCTGACATGCTAATCTGTCTATTAAAAGGTGAGTTCATAACTCAAACTTTGATGTAACCAGTGGACATACTGGTACTTCCACATTTTTTAAGATTGCTATCTGGTAACTCTACCTGAGTGCTGTGACTAACTTCATTAATGATGTAAATTACTACAGCACCAACTTTTTTTTTAAAGATATAATTCAACTCTAATAAACTAGACTACATAAATATTTACAATGCCCAAACTATTCTAGGAGGAAACGACCTTCCCTTTTTTGCCTTTTTTGGCCACTAAATTTTAGTATGTATTTTCTTCAGGAAGAAAACTCGAATCACTATGAAAAGAAAGGGATAGAAAACTATCATAGGACAGAAAACTACAACATGAAAATGCAGATTTTAGAAAATGATAAAAATTAGCCAAGATAATTTACAAGAAATCTAGCCAAATGTTCTCTCGAAACTTGAGAAACTTAAGCCAATGGTCTTATAAATGTTCCATGAATATGAAAAAAAAAAAAATTTCCCTCTCTCATTCCTCCTATCTGAAACGTCCCTATCATCTTGTTTACTCTACTTAAATTCAATTCATACTTCAAGGTCAATTTGAATCTCACTCTCCAGACGAAATTTTTCCTGCCACCTCAGCTCACAGTGATTTTCCTCTTCTAAATTCCACAACACAAGGCAAAACTGGTACAAGAAAATAGCAAGTGGTTTTGTAATCTCGAAATGTGGAAGAACCTCATAAGAGACCACATAAAGATTAAAATTTCTGAAGCCTACAACGTACCAAAAATAAAGTCAAAAGACAAAGTATCCCTTTAAAAAAAAAAAAAAAAAAAAGGACAACATATGACTGGTAAGAGTCATACAAAGTAAATACACAGAGCAGCAATTCACAAAAGAAAACAAAATTTAATGGCTAATCATTACTGATTAGGAAAATGTGAAATAACTAGGTATGCCTTTTCATCCTTTGTATGCACAAAATTTTGGGAAGACAGATGATCATTCAATGATGAGAGAGCACAGAGAAAAGGACATTCTCATCCATTACAGCTATGCATGTAAACTGATACAATCAACTTTAGAGGGCAATGCAGCAGCATCTATTAAAAAGTCAAACTCTTTGACCCACAGTTGTATCTCTAGTAAGTGCTACCAAAGTACTCATTAGAGTGAGGAGGTACAGATACATTCAAGGTGCTCCACCCACTGCTTATTGTAATCATAAAAATTGGGCACAACATCAATGTTCATGAACAGGGAGGGGACTGATCAAATAAATTATAAGACATCCAAGATGTAGCATTATTTCCAAGCTACTGAAATTTAAAAAATGAAAGAAAGAAAAGAAAAGAAAAGAAAAAAGGAGATAGATTTAGATCTGCATATGGGTACACACACGTAGTGTTGAATGAAAGAAAGGAGGTTATGAGAGAAAAGCTTAACAGTGGTTTCCTGGAGTAGAGGAGGATAATGAGAGACTAGGAAAAGGTATAAGGGAACACTCTGGTTCCCTCATAAAGATCTCTATCTTGGTATGAATTTGAGATACACAGGTTGTGCATTTGTCGAAAGTCAACAAATTCACACTTAAGAATAGTGCATTTCGGGGCGCCTGGGTGGCTCAGTGGGTTAAGGCCTCTGCCTTCGGCTCGGGTCGTGGTCCCAGGGTCCTGGGGTCGAGCCCCGCATCGGGCTCTCTGCTTGGCAGGGAGCCTGCTTCCTCCTCTCTCTCTCTGCCTGCCTCTCTGCCTACTTGTGATCTCTGTCAAATAAATAAATAAAATCTTTAAAAAAAAAAAAAAAAAAAGAATGGTGCATTTCATGGTATGTAAATTTACCTTTAAAAAACCCTATAAACCAACACTGAACTCTAGCTAATGATAGTAGGCTGATGTATCAGGGAGGGGCGGAAGGAGGAAATGTACTGATGTCTGCAATTTACTATGAAATGGATCCAAAAAAAAATAAAGTGGATTGACGGATGGACAGAGAGATGGTCGAGCATGTGATGAAGTTTAATAAAATATTTGTGGAAGAACTAGGAGGTAGGTATTCAGGTGTTATACCATAAAATTTTTTCAACTCTTCTGTTTAAAATTTTTCACAATTAAATGTTGGTGGGGAAAGAAAATTACAGAAAAGTTCGTATAACATGATTCTTTTTTTTTGTTGTTAAAAAAACATGTATTAGTAATTTCTATATATGGATAAAGAAAAAGAGGTGTAGAAGAAAACATGTCCATCAAACTGTTAACACTAATGGTTATCACTGGGCTATCTGAAGGACAGAGCAGTGAAAAGAAAGCTTTCACATTTCATGTATGGCTTATGTGTTCTTCTAATTTTATTAATAAACATATGCACTTCTAAATTCTTTTCAACCAGCTGAAAAATAAAGATTGCTTAGGGGTTCTGATGAGACAATACAACCTTGTACATAAGATGTTTAATTTAAGCTCTCTTTATCATTATATGTATTACCCTAATATTGTTTGTAAAATTAATCTTTTTTTAAAATGCAGTGTAGAAGCATCAGCTATAAAGCCATTTCAAATTTGTTTCTGAAATTTGTATTACTTACAGTTTACTTTTCTCTATGAAAAAAGAAATATCTTATTCAAGAAGATGCCTAGTTAAAATTTAATATGAAAAATTTTAAATAAACATAATGTAACTACAATTATCTTTTTTTGCAAATGAAAGTCATTTAATGCATCTAAAAATAAGACTTTAAGGATACTATGCCACATAATACAGAAACATATTCCCATGTAAAATTAAATGTGGACTTACCAACTTGCAAATTCACCAAGATGTATTGTAATTTTTCTGGTGCTTGCATTTAGAGTTTTTATCTTGATTCATTCCTTTTTAAATTACATCCCAACAAATGGATCTCTCCTCAATAACAGTTCTCCATGAGAATCTATTAATGGTTTAACAAATAATGATCTCTTACAAAGATAAAAATTGCAAGTCGCTAAATATTCTGTGAAAATGTCAATTACAGAAGTTTTAAATTAAAAAATAAGATGACTCAACTCCACCTGATTTTGTGTTTCCATATCCTACCCCATCCCCCCCCCAAATCTGCATTTGATTATACCATTATACAGGAAAGTTCTCTCTTTTGAAACCACCCAGTTCCCATAAAATCAAATTAGTATTGTGTGTCCAACATTTGGGCTTCATCAAACTTCCTGACCACAAATCACAAAATGACAACAGATTCTGAGATCACTGAGGAGACAAAATGCATTGTAATGTCTATCAAGATGTGAGGCTGGAACTATCCAATCACAATTGATAAACATAAAGAGTTTAAAATAGAAGCAAGTTTAAGTTTAAAATGTTTTAAGGGGAAAAAGCTATCCTCCTGTAATGAACCATTAAGAGAATCAACCATAAAAGTTAGTTTCTACAGTTCAAGTTTAAACAATAATACTGTAAAGAGTTCTAGATAACATACACACACAGATTCAGTATCTTATTAATTCAATTAGCATCTATTGACTATATACTATGCTTTTGCACAGGATACAGATAAAAAAGAGATGGGCCCCATCCTCAGACAGACTAGGTATCAGACCAGATCAATTGCTTGTAAGACAAGGTGAGCTAGAGGGCAAGATGGCAGGAATGCAGCTCATATAGGAAGGGTACTGGCTCGTGGAACTTTTTTCAGTTATGGGAATATTTATGCGCATACTAGGTAGTAGTACAAAAGGTATTTCTTATGGTGAGGTGCCATCAGGAAAAGGTTTCTGGAGAAAGTGAAACCTGTGAGTTAGCTAGTCAAAGAATGGAGGCTCTTCTGAACAAGAGAGCAAAATAAGAAAAAGTAAGGAAGCAGGCAGAGAAAACCTAAGTAAACCGAAATGACTAGAGTCATTGCATATGGAAGAATGGGGTAAAACATGTTTAACCTTTTGAGTACACTTACCTCTAAGAAATATATTTCATAATATTACCAGTACACACAGAAATATATGATATGAGAATGTTTTATACTCATTAAATAAAACATAATTGAAAAGTTTTAATAAAATATTTGCTCTTACTACATTGTTACTCTATTTTACCCTAGTTCACTCCAATAAAAATATATAACGTTGGTCACAGCCCACTAAAGGGATTTCATGACCCACAAGAAAAGAATGGTCTAAGAGCAAAAAACACTGTTAAACCATGCTAATGAGTTTGGACTTTGCACCAAACACAGTGGGAAACCACTGCAGGATTTTAGGGGGAAGAATGCCATGATGAAGTTCACATTTTGGAAGAACAGCAACACTAGGAAGGATGGACTTGGGTGGATGGATAAGGCTCCAAAACTGACTACATAAAATAAGCTCTGCTTACTGGTCACCCAGGTGAGAAAGGAGGGGGAGGGGGAAGACCAAAACAGTAGTGATTTATAAGGGGAGTATGGAACAACTGGGGTAAAGAACGAATACTCAGGACAGGAGACATGCTGGAAATGGGCAGATTAAGAATTTAATGAGTAAAATCAACAGGACTTGGTGATCAATCTAACAATCATGGCCATAGAAAAACTGATGCTGGGAGAAAATAGAGTTAAAGTCTATAAGGGGAATGGAAATGTAATGCTAATGATTTAGATATATATCTCACATACTCAGAATGTAATACTTTCCTTCTGCTATGGTAAGCAATATACTTCAGACACTCCTAACTTGTCCTTCATTTCCTGTCTTGGAAATGGTACTACCCTTCATGTAGTCCCTACACCAAAAACCTACAGTCTGCCCTTTACTTTTTTTTTTTTAAGATTTTATTTGTTTATTTGAGAGAGAGAATATTAGAGGGGAGAGGGGAGAAGGTCAGAGGGAGAAGCAGACTGCCCCATGGAGCGGGGAGCCCCATGTGGGACTCAATCCTGGGACTCCAGGATCATGACCTGAGCTGAAGGCAGTTGCTTAACCAACTGAGCCACCCAGGCGCCCCTACCCTTTGCTTTTAATTGAGACAGGGCCAACGTCAATAACGCTGCTATGGCTATGACTCTAGGGTGGCTTCCTAAAGTTTCAGCAAAACAATACTTCCTGTCAGAATTATTAGGTAATAGCTCAAGTCAAACATCTATGAGTCAAACTCCAGTCACTCACTGGCTTACGCTCAAGGAAAATTCCTACTTTACATTTTCAGTTATTAGAGCTACACGGCACCACAGCACTTCCAACAGGATGACCATTTTATCTAATTCAGCAGCATCACCGACATCATGGAATCAAATCTCACCTATGAGGTACAAAAACAATGCTAGGCTTAAAACTCCATGTAATTTGGGGATAACGAATAATATCCTGAAGTTTCATAACTATAAAAGGTCATAAGGTCATTAGATATTTTTAACATTGTGATGTCTGAAAGAATACAATCAACAATTCAGAGGACAAACAAAACAAAACAAAACAAACAAAACAAATCCCACAGAAAGTTCCCAAAAGAAAACAGTTAATATACGGATATATAAAATTTAAACTTAAAACTGCACCTTAAAATGAAGTTACAACTATATACTTTTAAACATATTTATATAGATATTTAACTTCTGAGGTTGTCTACTTTGAAAATTGGCCAGGATAAATAATTCTACCTAAACTATCAAGCTACAGCGGCCCCTGGGTGGCTGAATCAGTTAGGCAGCTAACGCTTGATTTCAGTTCAGGTAATGATTTCAGGGTCCTGGGACAGGCCCCAAATCAGGCTCCACACTCTCTGCCCCTTCCCTTGCTCCTGCTCTCTCTCTCTCTAAAATAAATAAATCATTTAAATATATATATATATATATATATATATATATATATATATATATATATTTCTTTTTTAAAAAAATTAAAAAACATATCAGGCTCTAGCTGTTTCTAATAATTAGCCAAGGGAGTAATTCAGTTTTTTAAATATCATATAGGTATTCAGTTTATTTCAAGAGTAGGAAATTAATCTTGTGGGGATATGAAAAAGAGAGCCACATTCAAATTATGACACAGCCTCCAAGCTGCCGTTTCTTTTCAAGCTTCCGTTTAGCCATCTGTAAAATGGTGATAAAAATAACTCATGGAATTGTTGTCATGCTTAAATGAGAAACTGCCTGACAAATGAAAAGCAACTCCCAAAACAGTAACTTTAAAGGGGAGTGGGAGACAGGAGAGGAAGAGAGACAAATTAAGTTTTACTTCTAGTCTTGCAAACTCCAGAATCAAACAATGTTTCTGGGTCTCTATCTTTAAAGTCATGATACAATTTAACCATACCCCAGCTCTACTTCCTCTAACACTAAAGACTGAGAACACTTGTCAGGAATGAGAAGCCTCCCACAGCCCAGTCTTTCAGCTGTTATCATACTAGGAGCATAGAGGAAGTTTTATTTCCACATGTTGGCATGGGGTCTCTTCAAGCAGAAAACTGAAAATAGAGATTTGATCTAAAATGGAGTGAACTAAAACCTTCAAACCAAAGTCTTTCAAGGAAAAGCAGAAAAGCAGAAGGGCTGGTAATTTAAGGACTAAAACACAGGAGCAAATCAGGACCAGCTTTCAGAAACTAATGAAGAATGCACAATTTTGACTCAATGCTGAGTTCTCCAGGAATTCTTTGTGAAAATGTGGGTAGGCAAAGTGTCAAAGCAGAACATACTTGCACCATCAATGGTTTCAAGAACCCACTTCTAGAACAAGTCCTTTAATCACTACATTCTAGGCAAAACTGAACATAAGCCATTGCTCCTCTGTATGCCTGCTTCATGAGTGAAAAATAAATGTAAATTAATACCTCCATTAAAAATACTGCACTGCAGTGATACACTTCATCAGAATTCCCTAACAGAAAGTAAAAGTAGCTTCAAAGGTGTGGGATAATACGAATTAAGATACCAAATACTGCTTGAGTCAGTATAAAATGTCACGTGGGAATCTTCACTTAGAAGATAGGGATGTGGGAGAGGGTCAGGAAAGGCGAGAAGAACTAAGGCTGAATGTAGAGTAGGACAGAAGGCTACAGATAACCTTTGCTTCAAACACAGCACAAGGAAAAACCTTCAGATAAAGTAAAAGCCAGAAATGAAGAGGCTCTGGTGTTTCCTGGACATGAACCTGATACGTTCTTCCAACGGGGAAGGGAAACTGGCTACCTACCTCTAGTACCCACTCCACCAAGACAAACTGAAAAACAACAAATCAGATTTCCTTCACACCAGACTTTACCAAAGCAGGCACAGTTCAAGAACAATACTACCAAAAGAAATCATCACTCCTTACTTGCTTGAAGCTGAAAATCCTACAGGAGATTATTTGTTCCATAATTATGGATAAAAGGCTTAAAATCAGAAACCTGGCTGAGATCACACGTGAGCATGTTAAAGTTAGAAAGAACTAACATAAAACTCATCAGCGAATGGCAAAATACTAATTTTTAACCTAATCTGCCCTTTTGTGGAAGCAGCAACAGTTAAGATGAAGGGAGCAGATTCCTAGTCGGCCTCTTAAATGGGATGAAGTTAATTTATCTGCGAGGTAAAGCACAGGGCAAGAGGAGGCCTAAATGGCAGAAGACAAACTTGGAAAATGTTACGTCTTTTCCCTAGGGTACGTCAAAAGAGGAAATAGGTAAATAACCTACCATCATCCTAAGATATTTTTGTCAAGGTAGCTACCAATGAGAGCAGGGCTACATCTGTGAACAACTAGGTTTATTCAATTTACCAATGAATCACTATGCTGACAATAAAAAAGGGTTTTTTTCCCCATTTATTCTTGTCTCTTACCTGTGTTTTTCACTGATAACAAAAGAGTTCAAACATTTTCAGCTTAAAGCGCTCATTAAATAAGAGCTATAGGTGCACTGATTATTCTACTAGATGTTAAAATGCCATTTATACTTAGTGCACTTGAAAAA